GCATGTTTTCATACAAATTTGATCCGACAACGTCGTCGTCGACAATCACTCATGACAAACAACAACATTCAGGTGCATCCACAAAGTATTGTCGATGTTCCAAAAGTAGCGTTAAACGATGCCCAACTACAATTTCTCTCACAAAACGGTATCTACAAATCTATAGTTGTTTTTTGACTTTAGTATTGCTTATCGTTGGTTCTGTTTTTCTTCTCCTTTGCAAAGGTCCCAGTTACATTCGACCGAACCAAAGTTATCTTCGTTGCGATCAACAACAACAGAAACAAGTCGATCGAGAATTTAACAAAAATCTTGACGTAATCGTTCCCTATCGTGCGTGTCTATCATATGTTGCCAACATCAACAACCATCAGTCGATTCTCTCATCAATTGCCTACTTATCTATGTGAACAGTACATGGCTCCAGTCTCTTATCTTCATGCTCATCGTGCTCGACAAGAAAGAAAACGTATACAGTCCATTCGATACCGCTTAAAGAAAAGCAATCAAGTTCTTCGTGTAACGGATAAAAGTGGCATAGTCCATATTGGTGACGCCAACGATTATGAACAAAAAGCAGAAGCTTATCGAGAAAAAAAGAAGGCGTATATCCAACTAGAAAATGATCCCCTATGCGTAGTTTTTGACAAGGCAGTCAATTTGCTCAATGATCTTCGTTCGAAAAAGCACATTCTTGCATGGCAATTTGATAAAATGATGCCGAAACGAGAGAACGCTCAACTAGCTTATCTGTATTTTGTTCCAAAACCACATAAGTTAATTTTTCAATGTTCTTTCTTTCCTACCAGTCTAAATTATGTTTCTATTCACAGGAAGGAACACCACTAAGACCGCTGGTATTGATCTCATTCGACGACTACAAGCATACACTGCATTTTGTTCATAATCGTTGGCGTCACAGATTTATATACAATGTTACTGCAGGAAGAATCTCTCGATATTTTAACTGAATTTCTTCTAGAACATGGATATACCAAAGTGAATTCAGTGCCCATTGATGCCATTCGGAAATTAGCTCGTCTCGTTCTCGCAGAAAATGTATTCACTTATGAGAAAAGATTCTATCGGCAAGTGATCGGCGGTGCTATGGGCTCCGCATTTACTTTGACTTTAGCCAATATTTTCATGTGGAAACGGGAAAAACGATTAGTTCAACAGCAGCTAAATGCAAACGAAATCTATGGAAGGCATGTTTAGTACCCTAGAAANAATCGAAAGCGATAATGTTACCTCTGATCCTGAATCAGTAAAAACTGATGTACCAGAAACCAAATCCACAAAATGTTCGAAAAGGGAAAACCAACTCATAATTCATGACACTCATGAGCAACGCTTTCGGACATACAAACGAGATCTACACCAACTTTGGAATGAAACATATCGATCAACACCAATCATTCACACAAGAATAATCGTTGGTAACAGAAACAATAGAGCGTTAGCACGAGAGTTAGTACATCATCGACACATTAAACATCAGCTGAAACAACCGTGACAATCATTCGAGACATTGACTTCACGCCAAACCTACATTTCAAGCATCATAGATTTTTCTGTACATATTATTTCTAATAAACTACTCATTTCGGTATAAACTTTCTCACATATATCAAACATTCACATACAACCCATATCTTCAACAAAACGTATATTCAGAACTTCGCCTATATAACAAAGCACACAAGCTTACATAGCAATTCTAACTATACTACATAAAAGTCACACCATATAGAAAGACTAACGATGCCAAATGAAAACTAAAACCACCCTAAAGATGAATAGAATAAACCTCATTCGAAACGCGTCTTGGTTTGCTTCGACTCACCCTCACCCTCACCCTCACCCTCACCCCACCCTCACCCCACCCTCACACCCTTTCTTTTTTCTCTTTCTTTCAATATCTCATCACATTAGTCGAGTTTACAAATGATGGGCATGTTCTCTTTACTCATTAAAATAAAAGTCTTTCTTTCTCCACGATATTCTCAATCAATAGAAAAATTCACAAAGGTTTTTCTAGAACAAGAAGGAGATTCGGAAATGTAGAAAGAAATAGATAATCTCCTATTGAGAACTGTCAGTTGTTGGTACATCTACATCTTTCCTTAACGAGTAGAATATTCAGAGAGGCAAATAATATTCTTTTCATAATGAGTCTATTTCAATACTTTTGCACGTTTGAAAAGAGTTTATCATATTTGAAGAATATTAAAATGAGTATGTCATACCGTTGCAGATCACCTCAAGTTATCAATGAGACAAGCTAGAATGATGATGCATGTCTTCAGAAAATACCTTTCAAAAATGAGAGAAAATGGTAATATGGTAAGCATAAGTTAACAAAAGGAGGAAAAAAGAAGTCTTCTGAAGCAGAGTTTCTCTGTTCAAAAGCATTCATTTCAGAGAAAGAAGGAAAAAAGAAACGTTCGGCAAATTATCATAATTAAAATGGTTGCATTTCTATTTAAATAATTCAAAAATCGTATCAACTCTTTACTAGATTTTAATATAGTTAACATTCCAGTATGAACAGGAATGATCTTCGTACAGATCTAACGTTTTATGTCATATTGCGAGGCTATCAAACAAATCCTCTTGTGTATTTCAAATACCTCTTGAGTCCATTCATTATCCTAAAAACATTTCCTGTTTTTGTTTGATTTTCCCAAGTTCTTAGTTTAAGTCTTTATTGGCAGGCCGCTTCGAGGTATTCGTACTGGGTGTGACGAAAGCCTGGTGATTTTTCTTGTTTATTAAGAGACGGTCCTCCAGTCATTCGAACATGATCGTACTCTCAAAAATTTTGACCCTTTTTTATGATTGGAAATGAAAGAGCGTCATCCAGAACTACTAAATCCAAAGTTTTAGCTCGTTCGGACTTACCTTCGAAAAGTTAGGATGTACGCACTGAACGTTACCCCTCTGTTTTTCTCGGGAAAATCATATTTTTCACTTCTTTTTCAGATACCTAGTTTTTATACTTTTTCTTCGCCATGACTCAACAGAATCATTAAAAATTATATACCATCTTGCAGAGAAAATTGCACTCTACAAAATCCTGCATAGAACTTTTTTTAAAATGGCGAAAATATACGAGTTTTATGGTTAAAACTGTATAGTATGCGTCACTTTTCATCTTGCTGTTTTTCAGTGCAGCCTGCATTTTCCCGCTGGTTCTAAGCTACCCGGAATGATTTATATAGAGATCGATAGAGAAAATGAAGGGCTATCGAATGCATATAAAATAGTTGAGATTAAAGCAGCAACAAGCCTTCATATTCGCCTGACAAGAGAGTTCATTACCTCCACAAAAATAGTCTTTTTTATAGATTTTACACGTTTTTTGCATATTTTCGTGCGTTTATCAAGCTAAAACTTTCTTTAAAGAAAACAAATTCTATCAGAAGTACTGTATCAACATCAAGAATACATCAGATTGGTCATGTTCCGAAGTTTTAATATCATCTATCTCGAGTAATCAGTGACAATATATACAAAATAGTTGAATGTATATAATGCTATACATTATAATAGCAATGTATTCATACCAATATAGGATCTTATACATTACAAAACGTATCCTTACACTTCATCTTGTTCATAATTTTACGCATTCTTCACTTGAAAAGCGTTGTTTAGTTTTCCATCGATAAAAAATCACTATATTTTTCAAGCTTATGTCTAATTATCCTATGTATATTCATTTTACTGAAATTCTTACATTCTAATAGAAAGATGTTGAATTCCGTACCAAAATCATCTGATTTAAATGGATAACGACTTTTTATTTATATACCAAACTGAATACCGTAGAACCTATTTTAGTTCTTTGAAATATTGTGTTATAAAAGAAAATTTTTTCTGCAATTATCAACGTAAAAAAAAGAAGAGAAAAAAGATCTTCATCGCC